AACACTTCTGAAAGTAAAAGGAGGAACTTATTAATAATTATACAGGACATCAGGTAAAATCCAGGAGTCCTGATGAACAGGGCCCTACACATGATCCCCCACTAGACTTCTCACTTCCACTGGTTTTAGGCTGTAGTTGCTTCTAGTACAAATAACCTGTTCTACCCATATTCTTCTCCATAAAACATTAAGAGCATGTTTCATTATATTTCAAAGTAAAAGTAAACTTTTCCCAAGGCAGGCCAAATTTTTATTTCTAATCCAGCAGGCATCCAGTACTTTCTGGGAAAAGGCATGCTTATGTTCAGAATTCAGGTTTCTTACTAAAGCATGATAAACGATTTTCAATCAAATAATTATAACTGGTTTCTCTTGGGTTAAATTTCAATAGGCTCAAAGTAACTTAGCACCGAAGTATTTTCACACAGTTTTCCAAACAGAAAGTCAAAGTGCAAAATGAATAATGTAATCCTTTAACAGCAAAAAGTTCAGTTAAAAAATAATCTTTCTTAATTATTAAGGAACATATTTTGCAGGGTGATACACTAGATTTTAAAAATATGAAAATAGGAAAGCTACAAGATACAGAGAACATGGGAGAATTTGTTCCTTCCATTTTGGACTCCTGCTAAATCTGTTGGACCCTGTAGGTAGATTTATCAACAGTTAAAATCTAGACATTATCTTTCTACAAGTTGCTTAAGGAGCTATCTAAAGAAAACTCAAGCCACTGATGGTGGGCACTGCTGCAATCATTTTATTACAGTTTCAGGGAAAAATGTATGATTAACTGCATACTATATGATCATACTCTTATTGTACATCTGATTACATCAAAATGTTCATAGACTCAGATTTTCTAAAGTGATATTAACCATTAAAATCAGTGTAAAGGGAGGGGCACCTGGGTGGCTCAGTGGGTTAAAGCCTCTGCCTCTGGCTCAGGTCATGATCTCAGGGTCCTGGGATCGAGTCCCGCATCGGGCTCTCTGCTCAGCGGGGAGCCTGCTTCCTCCTCTCTCCCTGCCTGCCTCTCTGACTACTTGTAATCTCTGTCTATGAAATAAACCAATAAAATCTTAAAATCAGTGTAAAGAGATCTTAAAATGTTTCTGTAGTAAGTTACATATGCAATACAACAGCACAATTTTTTAATCTTAGAAAAAAGTGCAATAATAAATGGTACTGTATGTATAATAGAAGGTTGTTTAAGATTATTTCCTTTTAATGACTTAAATAATATGATAAATACATATTTTTGACTCTATGAACTGATCCTTTATCAACTAACTAAATAGTAGAACATCCATTAGAATAGCAACATACTTAGAACTTACCTAAAATGACAGAGCCTCAAACAGACCTCAAGATTTTCTTCAAAGCATAATTCCACGATCATACATTTAAAACTCAAAATATTATCCATTCTAAAATCTGCAAAGACACAACAATCCTCTAATTTAAAAAAAAAAAAAAGCCACTGTCTAAAACTGTGTGTAATGTGTATGCCATGTTTTTGAGATACTACAGAGGGAGCTGCTAACACAGATGAATAATTGCCTTCCTAAAAAGTCTTTATAATCCTGGGGCAGCTATAGAAACAATTCCTTTTTATGTTGAAAGGATTCAATGTTTTCCAAATAGCACCACCAGTAGAAAACACCTTCTTTTCTGTGCATTATTCTATATATAGCTAAAAATTATACAACAGAAAACAAGAATATTTGAGGCTTAGGTTTGAAAGACTTTTTTGTAGCTAACTAATTATAACAGGTGTCCATTTTTTAACCTGAAGGTAAAAAAATTAAATAAGAAAGTAAAATATTTAAGTAAATGGTGTACCAGATGGTTCCACAAATACTTATGGCAAGGACTTTTAATTCAACATTCATGAACAATTTTGGGGAGAGGAATTGCACAGAAACATTATGCTAACCAATGAAATGGGCTGAAATAAGCCACCAACAGGTACTACACTATCTATGACACTCACGGTTTTAAATTATAACTATGCTAACTTTCCCTCTGCTCTGCAAGTATTTGAAATAATAATCAATCAAGGATCTCCCAGACTCCAATTATGGTCACTAGTAAGTGACTGAGAACTCCTAGCTTACAGAAGCACACAAAGTTTTTAAAGGAATGACAAACCCAAGTATACAGAATTAATGCCTGATATAAACAATTCATGCTTGAACTATAGAATAGAAAGTGATATTATAAATTAGGTAAGTGCTCACTGAAGAGAATCTAAATATATCTGGCACTTATTAAATATAAACATATTCACCAATTTATTATTTGAAAACATTCTTTCCTCACAGATAACCTAGATGCAATCAAGCGGATCTAGGCTACCCAAACCCAACACATTCAAAAGTCTTTAGGACCGGCTCAGGACCAACTCCTGGGAAATAACCTTTGAGCCCTTGTAATGTCCTGCCTCATAAGAGTGTCTTAGTATACCTGGGGCTTTGGTCACATCAGACAGTTTATGCTAACAGTATGATTTATGGTGACACCTGTTTTTATTTGCCTGGGGCCTTGGGCCAGCTGTATTAGTTTAACCTCTGGGTGTGGAAGAGGAGGAGTGCTGGAGACTGAGTAGCTGAGGTCAGCCCTGTGGGTGCTCTATGCCTACCTGACTGACCTCTGATAAAAACCCTGGACACTAAGGCTCAGGTGAGCCTCCCCAGTTGACAATATTTATCTGTATTGTCATACATTGTTGCTGGGAAAATTAAGCAAGATCTGTGCAATTCTATGGGGAAGCCAAATTGGAACTTTGTACCTGGTTTCTTTTTTTTTTTTTTTTTTTAAGATTTTATTTATTTATTTGACAGAGAGAGATCACAAGTAGGCAGAGAGGCAGGCAGAGAGAGAGGGGGAAGCAGGCTCCCTGCCAAGCAGAGAGCCCGATGCGGGACTCGATCCCAGGACCCCGAGATCATGACCTGAGCTGAAGGCAGAGGCTTAACCCACTGAGCCACCCAGGCGCCCTGTACCTGGTTTCTGATGGACTCTGCCTTATGCACCACTTTCCTTTGCTGATTTAATCTGTATCTTTTTGCTGTAATAAACTGTAGCCATGGTTAGAATACCTTTCCTGGATCTTGTGAGTTCTTTCAGCAAATCATGGAACCTGAGGGTAGTTTGGGGGACCCCTGACACAACCTACAATACAATAAAATTCTTATTTAATAAAGAAGATTTCTTCTAATTTCAAGGTTTGTTGTCAGCAACGTCATTTCCAAACAGGTAGAAATAGCATTACACATTCATAGGAATGCTTCTAATATGTAGGTTCCTTTCCAGCCAACTAAAAGGATAAAGGTGACTCCTGGCCAGGTGTAGGAAGTTACTCTGGATGAATGACACAAGTATGGCTCCACTCCCATGAGTTCCCTACCTTGGTAATTTTCAGGAAGTCTATGAAATGAAATCATCAATGCTTTCTCCTCAGTTGTTACTTCTGATCTACAGTTGAGGAGAAAAGAACTTTCTCAATTTTTTAAATTTCTAAATTCTTTAAATAAGCATATGTTAACAACTGTCTGACCAGGCCCAAGATCTCAGGTATACAAAGACGCTCTTGTTATCCAGAAGCTGGTCAAGACCCAGTCCCTTCTCTGAAAGTGCAAGGTTGGTGCACCCCAAGTCCACTGAGTTAAGCCTTTATTAATTCTGTAAAAGACTCATGGGTTAAAATATCACCAAGGATTACAGCATTCAAGAGCTCTAGGTTTATCGGATCACAATATCCCAGCAGTGTTGATCAGCGATAATTCTATCACCTTACAACCCCGTTTCCCAATTCCCCAGTCAACTTAGCTATTCTCCTTCCCTTAGGGAAGCTCTTAATTGTTCCCAGTTACTAAAGAAATTATCAAAGATAATTATCTAGTATAGAATTACTTACCACCTGTGTAAGAATGAGATTTTTAATCTCACTGCTAAGCCTGAAAAACTATCTTGCTTTCATACTGGTTTCCACTCTTAAGTCATAGGCCTAGTGTTAATAAGTCTTGGGTCAATAAACTAGTGTCCTGAGCTCACTGAATTCAAAGATTTAGGACTCCCTGTCTTTCACTTCAAGTTTTACCCAGTTAAATACAGAATGGTAAATCGTGATGCTTTTCCTAGGGCTAACCTATGTCTCAATTTTTTATTTTCATGCACAGTCCCAGGAGTTAATACTAGGCATTATTTTAGAGTTTATTATTATCCATGATACCTTACATACTATTTTTACATATTAATAGTAGTAATATAATGGTAAAGCCTCTATCCTGAGAGAATCATGTAGGAGTTGAAATAAAGACCACAGAGTCAGACCATTTGGAATCGAACCTCAATCTCAATATTTACTATCTGTGATCTTAGTCAAGTCTTTTTTATCTTTTGTGCCTCAATTTCCTATTCTGTAATATGGGAACAGTCAAAGTCTCTCTCCCAGATAGTTGTTATAGAGATTAAATAAACTTTTATGTATAAATAACTTAGAATTGTGTCTGGCATCTGATAAAAACTTAGGTAAGTAATGACTATTACCAGCACCATCACTATTACTCCAAAGAACTTGGGATTTGACTTACATATCTCTTTAATTTTCACCTTACACCAAGTGGTAGAAAAAAAGGGCAGTATTATCCTCTTAACTGATAGGCAGTTGTTGTATAGCAACAAGAGTACTTTCTTGAGTTCCATACAACATAGCTGCCTCACTGGCTTCATCTGCAAAATGGGGATGGTAATAACCTATCTCATAGGCTGTGTGAAGATTAAGTAAAAAAATGTGCTCCAAAGTCCCGTTTTTATGATATCACAATTCAGGATACATTGATAATACTGCTCTGTCAGATTTCAAAATTACCTGGTTCCAGGTATTCAACCACCTCTGCAAGGATGAGATTTTATACACCTTAAAGCATGAACCCCCAAAGGTGCTAGAAGAATAAATTAATATTGTCCCCTTCTTTCACATTCCCTGGTTAGGATACATTTCTTCAAAATAGTCAATGTGTGGAGGTTGGAGTATGTCAAGGGCAGAGAGTACCTGAGAAAAGGAAAAAAAAAAAAAAAAGTCAAATTTAGAGAACTAAAGAGGAAGCAAAATATGACATAAATGCAAGTAAATACTATTAACTTTTTAATGATGTAAGGCTTAGTTACAATTGCCCATGGAGATGAACTAAATTTATCAGTCAAGTAACAGTCCTAAACACTAAAATGGGTTTGTAAAACTACTATGTAAACACAATTCTATCTAAACTAAAATGACAGGGCCAACTGGGTTCGACCACATGCCACCAGACTGCTGCATGGCAAGTGTTTTGAAACGCCATTATTTTTAACAATCAGTGTTGCTCTAAGAGCAGGAGGAGACATATCTATCATTCATTCCTCTACTCCTCTGTTCAAAAAACGTTTACCAAGTACATTCTACCTGGCAGGCACCATGGTAGGCTCTTTGGTTATACTGATAAACAAAAGTGATACCACCCCTGCTCTCATGACTAGTAGTGAGGAAGGCATTAAAGAAACAAGCAGTCACACAACTTTATAATTATGATATATATTATTTGAAGGGAAAAAGTCAAGAGGAATGGGGACAAAAGTTTCCCTGAAGGGTGCCTGGGTGGCTCAGTTGGTTAAGCAACTGCCTTCGGCTCAGGTCATGATCCTGGAGTCCTGGGATCAAGTCCCACCTCCGGATCCCTGCTCAGCAGGGAGTCCCCTCCCGCTGACCTCTCTCCTCTCATGTTCTCTGTCTCTCATTCTCTCTCTCTCAAATAAATAAATCTTAAAAAAAAAAAAAAAAAAAAGTTTCCCTGAAGTAACACTAAGAGTTGAAGGGTGAATAGGAGTTGGCCAGGCAATGAGTAGGTACTGTAAAGGCACTGAAGCAAGAAGGAACCAGACAAATTCTAGAAACAAATGCCAGTGCTTATGGAACATAAAGGGTGGGAGGAAAACAGATTGGGATAAAACAGAAGAGGAAGGCAGGGGATATATCACATAAAAATCTCTTTAAATTTTTGTTAAGCATTTTGGATTTTATTCCAAGTACAAAAAAAGAAGTCACCAGGGTGGAAAGACTTTAAGGCATCTGAAATTCAAGTCCTTTATAAAAGCAGCATACTAACAAAGTCAGTTCTGCCTTTGAAACATAACAAATAGGCCTACTTCCCCTACCAGCTGTTCAGCTCTTCTTTTAAGTCCCATCTATGATATCACACGTAAGAATCTGAACCTACCTACCTAATAAGAAACCTGAGGGTGAAAGAATATGGAAGAAATTTTTAACAGGAAATAAACTGTGGTACAAGTTCAAATTTTCTATCTTTAGCTAAGTTTTTTTTTTTTAAGAAAAAATATTTATTATGGAAAATTTCGAACATATAAAAGTAGATAGAACAGTATCAAGAATGCTCATGTAATCAATACCCAGTCTTAGTAATCCACATACATAATTATTATTGCTTCTATACCTCCACTCTCCCTGTATAATTCTGAAGCAAAGAGCAAACTTATTTCAGCCATACATCAGTAAGCATCACTAAAAGATGAAAGCTTTTATTTTGTTTATTTATTTTTAAATAATGTGGTGCTTGAACTCACAACCCTGAGTTCAAGAGTCGGACACTTAGCCCACTGAGTCACCCAGGTGCCCCAAAGAGAAAAACTTCTAAAAAATATAATTATCAAGTCTAAAAATTATATGTTTTTTAATACCATCAAATATCCAGTTCTGAAATTTACAATTTTCTTTTCCTTTTTAAAGTTTTTTTGGTCTAAATTAGGACCTAAATAAGATTTACATATTATGGTTGATTTGTGTTTTAAGTTTTAACCTACAGATTTCTCTTTTTTTTTCCCCTTGCAATTTACATGGGGAAGAACCTTTGCTCATTTTTTTTTTCAGCCAAGCATTTGTCACTTTAAAATTCTAAATTAAACTAAAACCTCCTGTAATGAAAGTCTTTACTCACTTTAAAACCAGTTATACATGAAAGTTTGAAAATAGTTTAGATGCTTTATAAAGAATCTTGATCCTTCCTTTCTGAATTAAAATGTTTATACTTAGAATCTTGGTATAAATGAAAGATAACAGATTTTTTGGTTTCTTCAAAAATAATTTTTATCATATAAAAGATAAATTATTTCATTTCTATAAATTTAAAACCCTATAATTAGCTAGTGTCACAAATTCACACAAATTCATTTCTGATTATGAGATAAAACAATTTTTAACATGAATATTTGATGTTTGAGGAAGACAGAAATTAGTGTTTTACTTGACATCTTTTGGACTCTCCATTCTGTATCTGAACAACACACATCCTGTCTTGGGGGAAACCAGAATTCAATGAATGACAGCGTCCATTAGACAAAGCTATTTTACACTTCAAATCTATCTGCTATAATTAGAGGTTATCTACAGAAAGTGACAACCATACATTTTAAACCTTGATGGAGAAGAATGAGGCTTTCTTATTCCAGATTTGATGAGGCTTTTTGTAGAAAAGCCATATAAAACAGGGTCAGACATTTGCACTAAAGCATTTAGCTGTGATTGTTAGCTTCAAAGGTACAATATTTTAAATTCTGCTTGGAAATTTTTAAATGCCTGTTGTTTTATATTACTGTTATTTTATCTCAAAATGTTATCAGAGGATGGCATTCCACAGTGTTTCCAGAGGTGCAAAACCAGTGCTTAGATCAGTAGAAATGATCCAGGAATCTCAGAAATGATATAAATAAGTAAGAAGGAATAGTACCAGTTTCAAACTCCAGACTTCATGTCTGACCCCCTATTTAAATAGGCTGAGTCCCTCTATAACCCCTTATTTGTGGGAATCTAGAGTGTGTGAGATTAGCCTTATGATGTAAATAAGAGGACTCTTGTAAAGACTTTGACTTGTAAAGAGTCAAAGTATCCCCAAAATACCACCAACTCTTCAAAGGATCTCAAATACAAAAAAAGCAAGCAGACTTGTCTAATTAAAAAAATGGACTAAAATACTTCTGTCAATAATGGTCATTACCAAACAGTGTCTCAAATCTTTTTAAGAACTGGACAAAAGCCCATTATGGTGGCAGTTTTTTAGAATTTTAACCTCTGTGATGTTGAGATTCACTATAAATTGGTTATGCAATATAAAACTGGCTTCTTCTTCTTAGCCCTTTACCAATAAAACAACTGCTGTAAATAATCCTAATCCTAAATATAAAAACTAGAAATTTAACTATTCATAAAATACAATTAAATCCCATGTTTAGCAAAGGAGCTACCCCTTCCCCAATCTTACTCCCCAAGAGATTTTAAGTTCTTTAAGGTGGAGACTATGTAATTACTACTATTTTTTAAAAAGTTGTAAAATACAGCTGACAAGTATGTAATTTGATTAATTTTTACACAAAGTATATAATATGATGGATTTTTACTTCATGGTTAACATCTAGATCAAGAAGTTAAGCATTTCAACAACCCAGAAGGTCCCCATTGTCCCTTTCTGGTCAAATCCCATCCCTGCTCAGAGGTATCCACTATTCTCATTTCCATCACCACAGATTCATTTTGCCTGTCCTTGAACTTTATACAACTTGAATCATAAAAAATGAAGCCTTTGTGTATGACTTTTTTCCTTTACTGTTATGCCTATGAGATTCATCCCTATTGATGTGCAGATCAGTGGTTCATCCTTTTTATTGGTGTGTACTATACCATCATGTGAATGGACTATAACACAATGTACTTATCCAGACAATCCAATTGTCTGCTGGCAGACATTTGGGTTGTTTCCAATTTCTAGGTATTATGAATAAAGCAGCCATGAACACTCCTGTACATGTCTTTTGGTGGATATATGATTTGTCTGGAGTATACCAAAGAATATAAATGCTGGATCACTGGGTAGGTGTGTATTTAGCTAAATTTAGTGCAAACTGCCAGTTCCCTGAGTGGTTTTAGAAATTTACACTCTCACCAGCAATGTTAAGAACTTCAGTTGAGGGGCGCCTGGGTGGCTCAGTGGGTTAAAGCCTCTGCCTTCAGCTCAGGTCATGATCTCAGGGGCCTGGGATCAAGCCCAGCATGGGGCTCTCTGCTCCGCAGGGAGCCTGCTTCCTCCTCTCTCTTTGCCTGCCTCTCTGCCTACTTGTGATCTCTGTCTGTCAAATAAATAAATAAAATCTTAAAAAAAAAAAAAAAAGAAAAGAAAGAACTTCAGTTGATTTGCATTCTTGTCAACAGTAGGTCTTGTCAGTCTTTTTGTTTTTAGCCACTGTGGTGGGTATATTATTATCTCATGCTTTTAATTTACCTTTCTCTGATGACTAATGACTTTGAGCACTTTGTTACATGCCTATTAGCCATTTGGTTATCCTCTTTTGTCAAATTCTTAAGTCTTTTACTAATGGGCAAAAGTTCTTGATTTGTAGAAGCTCTTTATAAAATAAATGATGCTCAGATACAGAATTTACAGTTCAAAAAATGTCAAGTAAAATAGTTACTTCTTATGGTCTTTCTCAAATGCCAAATATTTATAATTGTCTATCACACAGTTGTTTAAAATTGCCTAACACATAATACATTCTAGGAATAAGTTTTTTTGTGGAATATATGTCTAAGGCCTGTCCTTTCATTCTCTTAACTTTTGATGAGCATTAATTCTTAAGGTTAATGTTGTTCATGTCCGCAAAATTTTTTTTTTTTTTTTTTTTTAAATGGTTGAAAGCTTGGAGTGCCTGGGTGGCTGGCTCAGGTCAGTTAAACTTGATTTTGGCTTAGGTCATGATCTCAGATGGTGAGATCAAGCCCCGTATCAGTCTTCATGCTGAGTGCGGAGCCTGCTTAAGATGCCCCCTCCCTCTGCCTGTGCTCCCCTCTCAAAAAACAAATAAATAAAATGGTTAATGCTTCACTTGTCTCATTAAGAAATCTTTGCTTATCTCAAAGTCATGGAGATATTTTCCTATGTTTATTACAGAAGCTTTATTATTTTACCTTTCACATTTAAGTTTACAATCTATTTTGAATTAATTTATATATCTGTTAAGAGATAGACTTTGTCCAGCTTCTTCAAGACTGTCTTGAGTATTTTAGGTCTTTTCAATCTCCACAAACTTTAGAATGTTTGTCAATTTCCTCACACGCACATATATATATAAAATCCTGTTGATTTTTGGTTGGGATATCATTGAATATAGAGCTCAACTTGGAGAGAACATGCATATTAACCAAATTGACTTTTTTGATTCATGAATACAAGAATGTATTATTTTGAATACATCAAGAACCTGCCCAGTACCACAAAATTTTAGACACAGAGCAAACAAAACCAAATCCATGAAAAGTAAGCCAGTCTACAGCATCCTTTGCCTTTTTACTCTCCTCAGCAGCAGAAACATTAGCATTAATAATGACTGCAGTTAAACAGCATGTCTGCATTCAGAGAAGCATCCTGTTGGTCTCATACTGATATGATTCTTCATCCTACTTATGAACCCAAGGCCCTGATTTAGGTCAGACTATACAAAGAAAAAAGAATCATTCTTCTTTGGCTCTACTATCTCCTCTTTGTCTTCTCTACCCCTCTGGAGTATTCCAGAATTAAAAGACTGGGAAAAAGTAACTCTGAGAGAGATCACTGAGGTTATCATGCCAGACTTGGGAGATTTCTTTTTTCTGTCACTTTCATTTACCTACTCATTCTTCAAATAGACGGACTGCCTACTGCATACTTAGTGCTATTGCCTAAGGACAAGAAAAAGCCCTAGATTTGTATAGCAGGGGATATTTGCAGGAATCAGTGGACCCTTAAGGGGGCTCTGAATGGGCTTTAGAGGACTAGCGAAAGCCTAACATGACATAAATATTATGTGTATGTGCACTTTTCTAAAAGAGGATTCATAGCTTTTATCAGATTCTCAAAGGAGCACAAAACTGAAAACAAAACAGAACAAAACAAAACACAAAACAAAACACAAAACCCCTTCAATCATGCCTTCACCAGGCTGATAATATGCAATTATGTGTGTGCATAAACGCATGCACAAGTGCATAGATGGGTCAAGCAGATAACATTTTTGCCAGGTTTTATAATAGCTCCGATTCTGACTAGACTCTGGTGATAAGCCTAGCTAACAACAACCTTTACAAAGTTAAACCCATTATTGTATTAAGGTGAATGCATCCTTAAGAAAAAAAAAAGTGTGTGTACATGTATCTCAATCAGTCAGATCAGCTAAAACCAATGAATTTGATACAGTAACTTTTTCTTTTTTTTAAGTAGGCTCTATGCCCAACGTGGGACTTGAACTCATGACTCCCGACTGAGCAAGCCAGGCGCCCCTGATACAGTGACTTTGAAAGTTCTATTCAAAAGAAAATACAAAGCCTCTCAGGGCTCTGTAACTATTCCTTGACACATTAGATGCCATCCAAATTAAAATCCAACCTTCCTACAGTGGCCAGGGTAATATTTCTAAATGCCATTTTCATCATGACATTCTTCTCTTCTCCTTCTTTCAATCAAATCTTAATCTCAAAAGGCTCATCTTAAGGTTTATCTCCTCCATGTTTAAAGCATCTCTGAGCTTGTAAGTCTACAACAATTTCTCTTTTCCTTAATATTATGGTACTTGTGTGGCAGCATTCACCTGAGCTTTAAAAATTATAGATCCCTGGGCCTCAATCCCAGAGATTCCAGTTTAGTGGGTCTGGGATGAGACCCATGAATTTGCCTTTTTAAGAATCACCTTTGATGACTGTAATATACTTCTAGGTTTGGTTGCCCAGCTTTTTCCATACATAAAACAGACTGTCTTGACTTAATACTTAACCATGCAAGCAGTCCTCCCAGGGCACTGTAATCATAGTATTCTTCACATTACTAAACTCCTTAAGGGTAGAAAGCTCTAGAAGCTAAATAGTTTAGGAATATAGGATGTAGAGAATAAATGTTTTCTGAATTAATGAACATGGGCTCTGAAGCAAGACAGACTCCAATCTTGTGCCACCCTGACCTGGGGCAAGTTACTTAACTCTAAGCTTTGGTTTTCTCCTTTGCAAAGTAAGGATAACAAACCCCATCTGACAAGATTTTTAAGGATTAAATGAATTAATGTATGGAAAGCCTCTACCACACATCCTGACACACAGTAATAAGTGTTAAATACCTGATTCCTCAAAACAGGACATTTTAAACCTTTTTTGTATCTTCCACATGACGTCTCACTGCCTCTATACGGACGTTAATAGACATTTTTTGCCTTAACCACATCAAATACCAGCTGCTTCTTGGACTGGCATTCCACACATACCAGGTATGCAGCACTGAGGAGCTTTTGGAGATCTCAGAACACAGCATAAATTCATGATTTATAAACAGTGGTGCCATACCATCTTCATCTCTAATAATCTGTCTCACTTTTGAATATTCACAGAAGTCACAAGCACTTACTTATGAGAAAGCTCAGGAGCTCCAATTGGTTAATATGTTTTGATAGGTATGATGTTCAAGAATTTCATTTATTTCTTTTCTTACACTACTCACTGACACCACCTTTGTAACTTAATTACTTACAGGAATGAGTCACGAGCAAAGATACCAGTATATAGAGTTAGCAGCCTATTATACCATCCCTCCTTTATAAAAGAAGCCAACATAGGTCTGAATATAATAAACCACTAAAATCCTTAGTAAGCAAATTACTCCCTCCTTGAAAAATTTCTTCACCATGGATACCTTTACTTGAGTCTCTAACAGTGTAAATAAGGTTTGGCCTCTTTGATGTTGGGATGGTACTCAAACTCAAGAAATAACTAAGCAAGCACTAGATATCTTTCTAAATCACTTACAAAATTTGAGGGATCCGTCATAAATTAGCAACTTGAGTGTTATTTTCAAAGTCACTGAAACCAATTTTAGGCAGTTCCAATTGACTGGAAGACAGTAATAACTTTTTTAACAAAGTTTAAGGAAAATGGATGTCAAGAGGAGTAATCAATAAAATGAAATATGTCAAAGCAAGGAATTTCAAGTAAACCTATCTATTTGATATTTCTAGTTTTACCAAACACCTCAAACTTTTCCAAATTTCTCTCTTAAAGTGAGACTTACACTTTGGCCAAAGTTCTAAAGTTCCTGTGCAAACAAGCAGTCAGACTAGACTCACAAGTAATTATTATATTTCTGATAAAGTTCTTATTTTGGCAATTAAAATAACATAGGTTGAGTACCAAATGAAGAACATGAGGCAGTTTTTCTTTTCACATGAAATCGAAAACTTGAGTCCAATGCTAACATAACATCCCCAGGTAAGTTTTAGATGTATCAAACGTTTACTTCAGGATTGAGGAGAAGCTATCTCTCAAACCAGTGATTCTCTTCATCATGAGTGAGTACACCATGAGTTTCCTCTAAACACAGCCATAAATAAGCTAACCTATGTTACTTTAACAGCTGTACTGGTTTTTAAGAAAAGAAACTGTTTCCCTACATCTTTATATTAATCTCTGATTTAAAATATTAAAAGTTAAGAATAAAGCATTTAAAATCAGGAACTGGGATGCCTGGGTGGCTCAGTTGGTTAAGTGGCTGCCTTTGGCTCAGGTCATGATCCCAGCATCCTGGGATCGAGGCCCACATCAGGCTCCTTGCTTTGAGGGGAGCCTGCTTCTCCCTCTGCCTCTGCCTGCTATTCTGCCTGCCTGTACTCTATCTCTCTGGCAAATAAATAAATAAAATCTTAAAAAAAAAAAATCAGGGACCAATTATTTCCACTTAAATCACTCATAGTACATACTGCACTCTTTTTATGTTTAATATTAGGATTGTTCCTCAGCTAACTATTAACATTTGTTTTACATCAATTAATATTTATCTGTTGACTGATACACATAAATTTGTGCATTGTTCACAAAAAATAGTCTAATTTGTCTCAGGTTCCTAAACTTAATAACTTGCACATTCCCTTTTTAACTCTCTTTTGCTTTCTACTAACACAATTAAGCATGCATAGGAAACAGTCTATCTCAAACACCAACTTCACTTACATTATCATGTTTAAAAAAACACAACATCTTCAATTCCCGGAAGACCCTTTTGCAAGAGACCAGATTCTGGAAGACGTTGGGCATCTTTTTGAGTGCTACTCTCTTTCCATCTCTTGGATCTGTTACTGACCTAAAGAAGCAATATTTGGGGGAGAAGGAAAAAAGAAAAAAGGAATCAATTCCAAGCTTTGTTTTTCAATGTTTCAGAGCATGACAATCATCTTTATCTTAGACTACTCAATCCACTTAATGTTTAAAGGTAGTGAGAAAGAAGATTTAAAACAAGTACACACTTAAAATCAAAGAGAATGTTTAGGCCATCCAACTTAATTGCCATGCCTTTTTTTTTTTTTTTAATCCTTCTCTAAATTTTTATAAACACTTTTTCTGAGAGGTCACTTAACAATTCATCTCAGGTAGGAGGGTTTTAGTGGTAAAGCCATTTTAAAAATGAGGGGTGAGTATAGATTAATACAACTTAAGTCAAATTAGTTTTATGCTTCATTTTTGGAACCAAATTCAAGATGGAAGAGATGTTCATTCAGATGTCATTTCATTTAGTTAAATATAGAGAAGTCAGACTCAATTTAATTAGTTTGGCTTCTTACATAAATGAACATCTTTTAGTAATATGGATTTCAATCCTACCAGTAGCTGAACAGCATCCCCTCCTCAGAAGTCCAAGTGCCAACTTAGGGCCGTAACTTCTAGATTATGAAGACCTCTTCCCTTTTGCTTCTTACAAGCCTCTTGGTATGGTAACTGTGCCTCCTATAGTTTTTCTTTAATAGCTCAGTGTTCCCCCTTTTTCTTATCTTTTAGTCTTCTAACACTTGTATAACCAATTCCTTGAATTACATTTCCCTATGTTTGACATACTAGTATGGTTTCCATTTTTCTGACTGGACCCACACGATACATATTAAATCAAACAGTGAAAGGAAACAAAGCAATAAATGTTAAATATGGCCAACTGACCATTTTATAAGTGATTTTCCATGAATTATCTTAACATTTTTTTTCCCTTCCACCCAATATATGACTGGTTGTCCTTGTAGAATTTATTTCTGTCAAATTTATTTTGCTGATTCCTGCTTGTCATTCTCAGCTACCATCATCTTTCAGTTCCAGTTTCAGTCACCCAATGCTTTGGCTATCCTTCCCAGATTTGTGTCATTTAAAAGTCTGTTCCATAGGTTATCAATGACTTTATCCAAGTTATTAAAACTTAGAACAGGACAGAATAGATCTCTACAACAGATACAACACTAGAAACCATCTATGAGCCTAACATCCAATTGTTATTGAATTACTTATTTAACTATAACCACCTAGTTTATTTCTTCATCTTGTCCACAAGAAATCACTTATCAAATTGCCTTCCTGAAAACGAAGCATTCCTGTTACCTACTAACCTGTCTAAAAACTATACCAAACTTCTTTACGAATATCATGACTTCTTTATAAATTCATCTTTGTGATCTTAGTGATCATTTACTTCTTAAGTGCTCATGAAAACTCTTAAATGGTGCATTCTACTATTTAAACAGCATGAGGGAGTGCCTGGGTGGCTCAGTTGATAAGCATCTGCCTTTGGCTCAGTTCATGACCCCAGGGTCCTGGGATTGAACCCCGCATAGAGCTCCCTGTTCAGTGGGAAGCCTGCTTCTCCCTGTCCCACTCCCCCTGCTATGTTCCCTTTCTCCATGTGTCTCTCTCTGTCAAATACATAAATAAAATCTTAAAAAAAAAAAAAAACAAAACAAAACCAGCATGAGGACTCTTCTTCTGTTGACTGATAATTTGATAAAACAAGAATTATAATTTTTAGGTTTTCAATAGCTTGAACTGTAATTCAACTAAGAGACTTAACATTGGCGATTAATGCTTAAAAAACACCTACCCAGTGCTGGCTTCAGCAACACATATACTAAAACTGGAACATAACAGAGATTAGCACGGCCCCTGTACAAGGATGACATGCAAATTTGTGAAGTGTCCCATATTAAAAACAAAAACAAAACAACAAAAAACAACCTAAACCCAAAACAGATCTACAACATTGCCTAAAAATACACATAAACATAAAATAAGAAGGAAACTGGATATAGTATTATATTCAGACTGTTAAAAGTATTTTTTTCCCTGTTCAATACACTTCTATAACTAGACTAGAAGACAAAAATGTCAATGAAATAGGAAGGAAGGAAAATTTTGGACCACACATTGTTGCCAATGTCTCTTGAGATTTCCTTAATGTAGAATAGTTACTTAGCATTCCTTTGTCTTTGATGACACTGCCATTTTTGAAGAGTACAGGCCACTTATTTGTAAACTGCTCCTCAGTTTGGGTTTGTGTGGTGTTTTCTCATGATTAGATTCAGATTAGGCATTTTTAACAGAAATAACTCACAGAAGTGAGGTCTTCTCAGTGAACATATTAGGAGGCACATGATGTCAATTTTCCCCATTTGTGGTGATTAACTTTGGTCACTTGGATGAGGTGTCTGTCAGGTTGCCACATTGCAAAATTACTCCTTTTTCCCTTGGTAATTGTGTAACTGTTCTATTCCTCATCAAACTTCGACCCACGACCTTTAGCAACCATTGATGATTTTTGCCTGCGTCAACTATTACTATGATGGTTGCCAAATGGTACCTTAATAGTTTTAACGTCTCCAAATAGCTAGTCCACACATAAATATTCGTTTTAAAAAAGTGAGTAAATTGCTTTAACACAAGGCCCTTTCCCCAGGCCTCATATAGCACTATTTCTTCCCAACTTCTGACTTCTTATTGGTCTTGACTCTACTACTCCTGGCCCAAGGTTAGTACTGTGCACTGCAGTGTTTTAAGGTAAAATTCACAAAGTAGAATTTTATTATTCATGCAAAAGCCAGTCATGCCTGTGGCTGGTAACAATATAACTCTAATGAATGTGAATGGCTGTGCAGTAATTTCACGCCATGTTGAGTTTGTTCTCTCAACTTGAGGTAGCAGATGCTTTAGTTCAGCTCAAACAGTACCACAGAACACAGATAAGTGTGGAAGCCTGTTACACAGGAATTCTTTTATTTTCTTTGTTACGGAAAGGCTTGCCGTGCTTAGTTCCTCTGTGGCTGCAACACCCAGGTTATTCCAACTGTACTTGTTAATGAAGCTCCAGCTGTAGAAATAATGAACAACATTTAGGGCAACTTGCCTCATTTCAGGAAAAAAAAGGAGCTGTCCCTTGATCTACAATTCACTTACTGGTCAGTTACTTTCTCTACTAAACACTGGAAGCCCTACATAGAACAGTGCATCTGTCATTTCCTCTCATTATCTTCATGGGCAATCAAGTTACGCTAAAACAGGTATTTACTTCTTAGGTTTTAAATCAAAGTTTGATTCTGTAAACAGTATATTAAAAATACAGTTTTAAGGTTTGTGAAAAAAGAATCCTTTCTTAGATCTGCCCAGAGTACATCAATCCTTCTCTGCATTGCAAATACCAGTTCAACTGTTTTTTAAACAGTCAGAAGAATCGACAAGCCTTTCTTCAGAGAAATATAGTCAGCCAAAAGAGTAGAAAACCAAAATAGAAAGCTTTTTAGATCTGGTGTGGTTGTTTTGTTGTAGAGCTTTCTTAATCCTAGGAACTCTGACCATTGCCACAAATCTGCTTAAATTACGGACAAGCAGAAGGGTTGGAATAAAACGAGGGTGAAGCTTATTGGGGATACAATCCCATGCACTCGAACCCAACATTAGAACAGCTTTATATTAGTATAACTACTAAGCAAGAATTTCCAAGAAATTATATGCTCTACATTCATTTTATATGAAGAATCTTTTCCCCACATGGGTTAGCAGTTTTCAAGTTCATGTTTCTGATACAGGTTTTTAACTATTCAAAGCAAATAAATAATTTATAATGAGAATGTTTCACTCAGATTGAGAAAATCAGGTTCTTCTAATTCTAGTCACATAAACTTGTAATCAGCAATCTTCTATTTTTTGCTATACACACTACAATTACTACGTCAACTGTACCAATACAGTATGTACCTCAGTAACAGAACCTCCTAACTAGACTAAATATTTAGATTATTGCCTTTGCATTCATTTTGAAATTCATTTCCTTAAAAGTTATCTTTACTTGTATTTAGATTAAGTCAGCTTGAGAAAATAATCACAAACTATGAGGTAAAATTTCTGACAACAAATAAATCTAAAAAAAAATGTGTCTTATCTGTAACTTAGTCCCTGTTATATGTTCAAGGACACTATAGGTTAAGGAATAAGGAATTTATTTTTACATCTCTTTGGTCTTTCTAACCAAAATTTTAACAGGCTATAGTTTGTGTATTTTGACATAATTTATAAAGTTGCACACTATTCAGAGGAATAAACTTTCCCTGCCTCCACCCAAAGATATATGAAAAAAGATTTTCATGGTTAGGTAATTTGTTCCATCAGTTGGAGTTTTCTGATGTTTGGTTTCTCTTTTATGCTTATCCAAATTTGGTATTTGCTGAGTTAGTTCTACATATAAGAAAGAGTTCCTTTTTTTTTTTTTTCCAAGATACTTCTACTAAACTGATCCTCAAATTTGTTAATCTGATATTACAAGGAAAAAAGACTTTATGTAACAGTTAAACCAAAGCAGTAAAATTGTTCATTCTTTTCCTTGTATCTTCACATTCCAATATTGACCAGAAGAAGCAAAACATCTACATTTACTTGAAAGAGTTAAATAAGAACTTAAACATCCTCTAACTCTGTGTTTAAATAAGTATAAATAGCAGTGATCCCAGCAGGTGAGACATCCCTGGGCCATTCTGATCTGTAGTGAGATCCCCAGGGGTGCTGATAAGGGAGGAGAAATAAGACACAGGCAAATCATCCAATATCAGGCTGTCATATTTATTTTCAAATACTTGTTACTAATGAATAAGATCTAACTTTTAAGACCCCAATCCCCCACCAATTATTATTGGTTAAGTTAAAATATAGATGTAAAATCCTCTTCTATTAATTATTGTTGGCCCAAAAGAATGTTAGTTCTTTAAACCATGAATTAATAATTAGTTTCATCCTTGCTCCAGATGCTGGTAAAGACATAGAGACTCTTACTCCTTAGTCACTGTCAAATATCTTTGTGAGGAGTATGACTTGCCTGCAGGAAAGTTGCCACACTGTCTTTTCAGTAGGGATTTTCTCACATTGGTGGGTGAACATGACACAGCCTAGCATGCCAACTCTAGGAAGTTTCCATGGCCCACTAGCCACAGTCCTCTCCTAGAAACAGACCCATGAATATTGTATGGGAAGGAGAACCACCCGCAATGAAAGACAGGTTTCTGTACAAAGACGAAAGGAAAAAATTCACAACTGCACTTTCTTCTTACATTTTAACAATTTATGCTGAAAAGAGGTTATAAGGGATAACCAAAACAAAAACTATGTAACACAAAAATGTGCTTGCTTTTAATCCCACCTTCTTGAAAGATGTGTTCAGTAATAGGAATACTGAGAAATATAGATTTTTTTTAAATTAAAGAATGGCAATTTTGTTAGATTTAAAAATATAGAAGACACCAAATGAAAGAATGGTTTTGTTTACACAGGTTTATAGCAGCACAATTTTGATGATGTTGAAAAACTGTAATGAATTTAGAAATGCAAAGTTTCACAGACTGGTACCCCTGAGGCTAATAGTACATTATATGTTAATAAAAAATAAAAAATTAAAAAAGAAATGCAAAGTTCACATGACTGAAAAAAATTTGTTATTTAATATTTTAGTGGCTAATATTTTAATAATTACTTAACATAAAATTTAAGTCCTAGTATGCTGTTAGTTAAAAGTAAAGTGAACATACCAACCAACATACCAGTAAAATGTAAATTTTGAAATAAAAAGGAAAATCTGAATATGGCTTGGAATTATGGTTATAAATCAAATGTCCATATGTTCTAGGAATGTATACTTAAGTATACATAGGTGAAATGATAAGAGACTTAAGATTTCCCTTAAAATACTTCATCAAGAAGAACTGTTAAAACAAATGAAGAAAATGTTGATAATTACTGAATCTGGTGATCAGTATAATGAGGTCAAACTATTAAAAAATAAAGAAAATACATGTTTAAAATTTTTCAAAATAAAAACAATGAAGTAAAAAAAATTAAAGATACTATTTATAATATAAAAATATCTGGTATCTGGGATTAAAACTAACAAAAGCTAAGTAAGCAACACCTCCACGTAAAGACTAAAAAACATTATTGGGAGAAATTAAAGACATAAATAAATGGAGAGATATACCATATTCATGATCTAGAGAACTCATATTATAAAAATTTCAATTCTCCCCAAACTGATTTATAGATTCAGTAAAATTCCAACCAAAACCCCAAAGGTTTTCTTTTCGTGGAACTACACAAATCAGTTTTAAGTCTTTATGGAAATGCAAATATGCCATGGACTGCTAAAACACTCTTGAAGAAGGTGGGCAAAATTGCTCTACCACATATGAAAACTTAACATAAAACCACAATAGTTTAGATAACATAACTCTGGAGCAAGACCAAAGAAATGGAAATATGACTCCAAAACAGACTCTCACATATACAGAGCCACTTGGCTTGTCATAAAGGTGTCTTTGTAGAAAGGAAGGCTGTGCCATAAGCTATTGTCTCTCAGGTTCAAACCCATCTGTTTAAACACAACTCTGTAATATTGCAGTTATAACTCCGCAAACCACATTTTGGTTTTGCCAACTAGTTCCATGTTAGGCTCTCCCAATATGGGGCTTTAGAGCAGACTACAGAGTTGTAGGAGTAAAAGGGGACTTGCCCCTTCCTGTGGGCTTCCTGCCTGTCTCTTGTTTCTGTGTCACCCTAGCAACACTTCTTCACTTCAGCAGTGGCAATGCCTTCCTATAACTGCAGCTGAGCCCAGTTTATAGTCTCCCCGTTTGCAGAACAAGCCTCACTGCATCCTCCACCCCAGATACCAGCAC